CAGCCATTTTTGGTCTTAGAATTATAAGAATAAATATTACAACTCGTATGGTCATAGCACATATATGCATAATTTCCCTAAATCATGAAGATTTGTGTGCCAGTATGCACCGACAGGAGATTAATGCATAAACCGCATATAGTTCTAGCACCCCTGAACTGGATTGCGAATAATATATGTGGCTCCCATTTGGTACTATATGGATAAATGCGCTTCCGAAGCAGCAAACATCCAGTGTCTCTTAGACACCGTGTCCTTGCCAAGACTGATCCAGTAAGATCACGTGAACTCCAATAGAACTCACTAAATCATCTTCAGAAGTCCGCGAGGACAATGCTAGCATTGCATTTGATGATTAGTGAATTGGCAGCACGAAGTACCAAATATCCGCATAAGCAGACTAAGTATAAGCTATGAATTGCAATATTTTCTATATCATTGTTGTAATACTCGTAGTAGAAAAGGACATGTAGTCTTGAAAGCAGCAAATTCTGAAAGAAAATTCAGACCATCGGCATGAACATCCATCGTGCAACTAGTGCTATTGCATCTATTTGGTTTATGTGCATTTCCCACTATCATAATGCGTTGCAAAAGGCTCTCTCCGAAGGTCGAAAACCTTTTACAGAGATAGTTATGAAGCCTAAATTCCTTGACAAATAAGTATTATTTCCAGTCATTTAGGGGAAGAGAATGAACCCCTAGATAGGAAATGTCAGGAAATATGACAGTAGAATGGGACTAATGCATGTTACACCGCACTAGTAAATGCACTTTGCATAAAGAATTAAAACTTCCAAATCACTTTGTAAATACTTTTGTGATTTCGAAGAGTTTGACTAAGTTGCATGAATGAAATGCACCAGAGGAGGGTGATACCGAAGAAAGTAAAGGTACCCCTCGTCTTGTCTAGAGGCCTCGAACAAAAATGAATTGGACAAGAAACTTCGGCTCCTCACACCCCTGAAGTAACCGGAGACGTCTGGTGAAAACAGGGCAAGAAGGACTATCATACTCAAAGTCACGAAAGATATCCCACCGAATAGAAGGGGAGCCAATTGAGATCTGGCAAACGGTACGGAACCTTAGAATAGGCGTACCACACCTTCCCATCAAGGAAGAAAACTAGCTGTTGGAGTGCACACTAACGCTGGTACATGCCCGCATCAAGAGGTATTAAGTAAAGAAGAAGAAGAAGAAGAAGCATATAAAAATGCATCTCCTCGTATATCCACGAATATTCGCATAGAGTCTCATGCAACCAATAGAGGTTGGCAATGAGACCAATTATGGGTAATGTCTCTTTTAGACAACAAAACTCAATGGCAGTCAACCAGAAGTTGAATAAATGAACTAGAAGTTGAAAAGAAGAACTCAACCTAAATATTGACAAGCATTGAGATAGAATCAATGAATGCATTTCGGGAGCTTGGATCGGACACTTGCATAATAGTACATGAAGAAGTACTAGGTCCGGAACCAACATAAAAGAATAGAATAAACCAGGAAAAAATTGAAGAAAACAAACTCATTCGTTTTGAATTTGAGTTTGATTTGAAATATTTGGCCGAATCCAAATCATACTTACGCTTGCAGCTAAAGGCATGCGACAGATGGAAGTCTAGTACATCATTCCAACTGCATTTAGAAATGTTCATGGTGCATGGCTTTGGAATAATCAATTATCGCCAAAATGGGACGGAATTCCTAAACACAAGTGTGTCATAGCAACACATGAATATTTGGCTAATTGAACTAAACCGAACTAAGCATCGTTGAACTGTTCAGAGCCTCGGCATGGTTTTGAGATATGGTTACCCGCGACAGCAATCGTGATTTGAAAACTATCTCAACCCCCACCATTTATTAAATTAAAGCAGCATATGTCGCACATATGCAAATGAGTTATGTGAGAAGCAAACTCACTAAGCACATGAACCCCCAAGCTCTTCTGTGTACATGAATTGCATAGAAGCAACGAACTAAGTCATGTGGAAGTCTTACAGATTCATCCGCAAACTCATTATTGACATCTTCACTTGAATAAGTGTGTCCGAGAAATCGGGATAATGAGACTTAGAGAAATGCAAAATTCAGGGGGAGAATTTCGCCGACTCATTTCAGAATCTTGATATAGAAAATCAAGTACCCAAAATCAATCTAGAAAGATTGAATGAAGAATTGGGTGGATTGTACTCTTTTTCCCTTGGGTAAGTTTTCCCAGCAGTTTCTTATCAAGGTTTTTAACGAGACAATTCGTACGACATTGCAAGCGTATGCTATGTACTCTTTCTCCAAATTTTTTCCACTGGGTTTTTGTGGAGTTTTGACAAGGCATAGGCATCACGCGGTGAGTGCCCAAGGGGGAGTGTTAGGAAACCTATGGGCCTGGGCCCATGAAGGCCCAGCCTATATACACTAATTAGGCCCACACCGAAACCTTCCATATATGAGAAATGGCTATATAAGGAGGAGGGGGCTACTCATTGTTTACACTTGGTGCTTGAGGTGAATAGAGAAATGAATGAGAAGAGAGTCTCGCCCCTACATCTTGTGTCTCCATTTTTGTAGAATTACAGGATTTTTTTGGACTACTTCGTGTAGCAGGAGGGTTGCGTAATAAAATCCTTAGGGGATGATCAAAATGTGATGGATGGAGTATTAATTGTTAAAGTTTTAAAGCTTGATGAAATCCTACATTTTTTTTAGATACTATATTCATAGATGAATATACACAGCCAAAGTTATAAACGAGAGTATTTAGACTTCACGTCTCTTAGCAAAGGAACACAAAAGAATAAGATCAATACGACTGCTGGCTAGAAAAAAAAACCCTATAAGATTAAGCTTCAAAACTTATCCTATGTACTTGCTTCGAACTTGCTCTGAACTTGTGCAACGACAACTCATCACATCAATCGTCTTGGAAACTCTAACAACCTTAGAAACTTTGATGTCAGACTCATCCGTGACCCGTCGTCTCCAAATCCATCTATGGACATATAGCCCGCCCAGTAGCCATGCCACTGCCAAGCACCACCGTGTCGTCCTCAACTCCAGGTCTGAAATTTTTACAATTTGGTCCTTTTTGAAAACTTATTTTACAAATAGACCCCTTAGAAAACTTAAACCGGAAATAGTCCTTTTTGGGGCGCCAGAGTGGCTGGCGCCGTACCCCAACATGGCGGCGCCAGCACACTGGCGCCGTGCCCGTGCCACCGTGGCACTAGGGCTGTCGTGGAGGTGCTGACTGGGCAGAAAGGGCGCCCAGCCACACTGGCGCCGCCCCTCATACCATGGCGCCAGCATAGCTGGCGCGCTCCTCCTCTGTGCCTTAAACCCCATGGGCCCCACCACCTTTCTCCTCCCCACTCCCATTTTCGCCATTCCCAGCCCGAGCAGCGAGCTGCTGTTCTTCTCCCTCTCTCTCCCCCTCACCTCTCCACCTCAAATCCACTCAATTTGAAGCCGTTTTTCGCGGGATTTGTTGTGGAAATCGAAGAGAAAGGTAGACTCCTTCATTCCCCCTTCTTTTTTTTTCATTTTTATTGGTTGAATTTGTAGATCGGTGGGTAACCCTAGAACCCCTTTTTTACCCAAATTTGTGATTTTTAGCATTTGTTCTTAGGATTGGCTTGTTGTAGTGCTACATGTTTGCAATGTACTCATTGGTGTCATGATTTTTTTAACCATATATGTGGTAATGTTAATTTTTGGATGGTTTGGTTGGATGGATGGATGAAAAATTATGGTTGAGGCATGACGGAGGTTTGGGTTGTATGATAGAGTATTTGTAATATTTCGATGTGTAATGCAGTAGTAAACTTGTTGATAGTTGTAGGTGGATTAAATATTTTTTTGGAGTAGTAGCTTTGGGACAATTTAAGTTATGCATTGGTTATAATATGTCGGTTTGGACTACGTTTAGGAATGAAGATTTAATTTTTGTTGCAAAGTTACATTTGATTTTTTGGTGTAGATGGATAGACTTGTTCGTGTTTACTACGGTGGTAGAGTGGTGGAACCTTATGTTGGTGGACATGTTGAGTTTGAGGATATGTCATTGAAGACCATTTTGTTTCCCACCCACCCAACTCTAGATGAACTAAGGTCACGAGTGAAAGAAGTTCTTGGATGGACCGAGGATAATGTGGAGATTCGTTTTTATGGGAGATACGATGTTGGTCAAGGGCATAAGTATATATTAAATGTGATAGGTCAGTTGGAATGGGAAGTTTACTTTGATTTGGTAAAAGAGTCTCAGTTTAGATCTCTAGAGGTGTTTGCATCAAAGTTAGTTCGTACCGTAGAAAATTTGGATCTAAACAAATCTCCTTCTTATCATTACGTTGAGAAGAATTTTGTGACATATTATTCTCGTCGTGGAGGGGGTGCAAGTAAGAGTGAGTTGGTACGAGAAGACTTGGAGGGGGAAGGAGAGAAGAAGAGACCTTTGCTTGGAAATGATTTATGGGAGGCAGGACCATCAAAGAGACATTGCGGTACTGATGATGTGGATGCAGCGAGGGTGATGAAAAGGGAGTTAGTACAAGAGGGGCTTGATCTAAGTGAACATTTGTTCGGCGAGTGTTCATTGGTCGTCGTACGGAGTCAACCCTGAATACCCGACAGAAGTAGCAGGCCAATATGTGAATCCAGATGATTACTTTGATGTCGAATTGAGTGGTGGTCACGATTCTGTCTCAGTAGAAGTCAATAGAGATGATGTTGACGAGGAGGCAAGTGTTGAGCAATATGATGTTGAATTTGCTGAAGACTCTGATGATGACCGTCCATTCCCTCCACTTACTAATAATGACAAGTTAGCATTAGAGGAATGTCGTGCGTTTGAGAAGGTGTTTGGGAGGAAGCCGGACATTCCTGAGTTTAGGGACCTAACACATGCCCATGGTGCACTACTAGATGGCGGCATCAACCTAGATCAGTTGCCAGAACCATTCCAGGTGGATGGTCTCAGAAAGGGTTTAGAGTTCCCATCCATGGTCGCATTGAAGCTATGGCTCCAGGAGTACGCCATCGTGCACCATCGTCCATACCGTGTTGTCAATTCTGCCGCAAATAGGAGGTACACTGTTAAATGTGAAAACCCACGGTGCAAATGGAAGGTCCATGCAACTAAGAGGTCTAGTGGCACGTGGAGGATATCACGGGTAGGTAAGGAACATAGTTGTGCTACTGCCGAAGGTTCAGGGAGCCACCGGCAACTGACATCAAAGTTCATAGCAAATAGGTTATGCAATACCATAAAACTGCAACCTACACTCTCTGCTTCTGCGTTAGCTTTGTATATATTTGAGGTTTTCCAGTATAGGGTGAAGTATGGCAAGGCTTGGAGGGCACGAGAGGAGGCTATGAAGCTCATTTACGGTGAATGGGGTGAAGCGTATGTCCGTTTGCCCACTTTGCTGCAAGCCATTAAGCAGAGGAATCCCAGTATGGTCTACCACATCGATACTCATCCTGATAGGGTTGTCAACGTTGATGGAGTGACCAAGAAAATTTTTATGCGTGCATTCTGGTGCTTTGGTCCTTCCATTGAGGCTTTTAAGCATTGTAGGCCAGTACTAGCTATAGATGCAACCTTCCTAACTGGGAAATACGGTGGTGCCTTGATGACTGCATTATCAGCTGATGCGGAGGACCAACTTGTACCTTTAGCTTTTGCCTTGGTGGAGAAAGAGAATTCAGGAGACTGGTGCTGGTTTATCGATCTTGTCCGACGGGTTGTGGTTGGGCCGCATAGGGAGGTTTGTATTATCTCAGATCGACATGCTGGTATAATAAATGCCATGATGACTCCTGTTCCAGGATTGCCATCGGTTCACCACCGGTGGTGCATGAGGCACTTCAGTGCTAATTTCCACAAGGCCGGTGCGGACAAGCATCAGACAAAAGAGCTCCTAAGGATATGTCAGATTGACGAGAAGTGGATATTTGAGAAGGATGTTGAGGCACTAAGGCAGCGTATTCCCGAAGGTCCTCGTAAATGGCTTGAAGATGAGTTGTTGGATAAAGATAAGTGGCCTCGTGCATACGATAGAAATGGCCGCCGGTGGGGTTACATGACAACCAACATGGCCGAACAGTTCAATAGCGTGCTAGTTGGTGTTCGTAAGCTTCCAGTGACGGCCATCGTATCATTTACGTTCATGAAGTGCGATGACTACTTTGTGAACAGACATGATGAAGCTTTGAAGCGAGTCCAGTTAGGGCAGCGTTGGTCCACCAAGGTTGACATTAAGATGAAGGTGCAAGAAAGTAAGGCGAACAAACACACTGCAAGGTGTTTCGATAAGCAGAAAAAGACATACGAGGTCACAGAGAGGGGTGGTATAACGCGTGGTGGTGTTAGATTCGGCGCAAGAGCCTTCAAAGTTGAAGGTGATGGGAACTCATGTTCTTGCCAAAGGCCATTGCTCTACCATATGCCTTGCTCACATCTTATACACGTTTATCTGATTCATGCAATTGATAAGGAATCTCCCAACCGAAAGCCGTTGTGAACACATGGGCAAGTCGCTTTGAGCCATACCTCGACCCCACACAGTGGCCATCGTACAATGGTGAAGAATTTGTTGCTGACCCAAATTTGAAGATTAAAACAAGAGGGAAGAGGAGATCGAAACGATTCAAGAACGAAATGGACTCGGGTCTGGGTGGTTCTGGAAGGAAACCACCTTCATGCGTTCAACTTGATGCTGCGCCGGTGCAAAATAGATGCTCGTTGTGTCACCAGGAGGGTCACAAGAAAACTAAGTGTCCTAAGCGTCCAAAAAAGAAGAAGTCCAAAAAAAATTTAAGTGTTAGGGAGGTAAATATTTTGTTTTCCTACTCATGTTCTCGCATTCATTTTCTTTTAATATATGTCACATTGGTAACTAACGGTGAATTTATTACTTTTTCATGTAGGATGGCCGAGGAGGGACAACCGCCGACTTACCCAGCCTTGGAGGCGTACTACGAGGCCCGTCATCGCGGGGCTGCGATCGAGGCGGGGAGGGTATGAATCGGCATTGATTCACTTGTGCATAAGTATCGGTAGCGTGTATTTGACATTATATTAACTAATTGATTTACAATTGCTAATGCAGGTACTTCAACCGCTCCGAGTCAGAGCTCATGCCCCCCCAGTGTTCGACGATAGGTACATCCCGTACCTAAGGGCTGCCGGGTTGCTCGGGGTAGCCTTGGTCGTGAGCAGAGGAATGCCAGTGTTCAACGCTCCTGCGTTGACAGCACTTGTGGACAGATGGAGGCCTGAGACACACAGCTTCCACCTCCCCAGTGGTGAGATGACCATCACTCTACAGGATGTGGCTATGATCTTGGCCCTCCCATTACGGGGGCATGCCGTGACGGGCAGGACAGAGACTCCTGGATGGCATGCACAAGTGCAGCAGCTGTTTGGCATTCCACTGAACATTGAGCAGGGGCAAGGGGGGAAGAAGAAGCAGAATGGAATACCCCTGTCTTGGCTGAGTCAGAACTTCTCACATCTTGACGACGATGCTGAGCCATGGCGTGTTGAGTGTTATGCCCGTGCATACATCTTGCACTTGTTGGGAGGGGTTCTGTTTCCTGATGCTGGGGGTGACATTGCTTCGGCGATATGGATTCCTTTGGTCGCCAACCTTGGTGATCTGGGCCGTTTCAGTTGGGGGTCAGCAGTGTTGGCGTGGACATATAGACAGCTCTGTGAGGCCTGTTGTCGTCAGGCACCATCATCCAACATGAGTGGTTGTGTGCTATTGATTCAGATGTGGATGTGGTTAAGACTACCGGTTTGAAGGCCTAAGTGGAGGCAAAGCTTCACTCCTTGGCCCTACAATGAGCCAGACATGGAGAAGACAGTGGCCTACCTTTTTGAGAGTACTGCCACTGCACATGCTCACCGGGATGTGGCATACAAGTATTATGTCAATGAGATGGACTGCTTGCAGCCTCAACATGTAAGTACTTCCAATATCACTTCTAGTTAGACATTTACTTCTTTAATTGAGATACTAACCAACGACATCTCTTCAACTTTTGCAGATTGAGTGGTTACCATACCACACAAATGAGGCTTCAAGCCTGACCCTGAACTCGATGTGCAATCGAGACTCTGACTATTTCATGTACCAGTGCCCATTGATTTGTTTCTGGGCAGTTGAGTACCACCTTCCGCACCGTGTCATGCGACAGTTCGGGAAGAAACAAGATTGGCCGGTTGAGGACATCTCAACTGGAGTTGAATTACACAAGTAAATATTTCTTATCTTTGTTTGCTTTCATTGTCAATGTTCAATTTTGTACCATTTAACCCTTGTCGATGCTCACTACTGTTTCATCACCTTCTACTTGTCTAGGTATGACAGGGTGAGAACAAAGAAGGTGAAAGACTGGGGGCTAGAGCATAATAGATACATTGATGAATGGAGAACAGCCGGAAGGAACGATAGGTACATCGAGACTATACACCAAAATCATCTTTTCTCAGAGTACCTTCGTTGGCTGCATAGGACATATAGACTGTTCCTCCGCCCTACTTGGACGGAAGCCGACATAGAGGATGACCGCGACTCCGATGAGGGGCGGAATCCCTATGATGTCCGGACTACAGTTGGATATCAAATGGAGCACGCCCCACTTAGAGACAGAGTCGTAAGTTTTCTTGCATTTGTCAAAGTTACTTCCATTTGCACCCTAGACCCTAACATATATCTTTTCACGCTTTCAGTCGAGAGAGCTCCTCAGGAGTGTGAATGAAATGGGGCATGCCCTCCAAGCTCCGAGGGGTGGTGAGGACACGGAGAACACGCTCCGCAATGTTTTAGAGGTAAAATTTATTTAGCACTTTGCATTACTTGAGTTATGCCTAACAAACTTCTTTTTTTTTTTGAAATGCAGAAAGTTCGTCAAAGGTGCCGGAAACTTGCAGCAAGATTAGGTTGCAGGTCGGTTGGATTGGACGACGTGTACCAACCGGGGAGACTACCACCACCACTACCTCAATCCGCGCGTCCAAGTACTGCTCGACACTCCATCAGGATAGAAGAGCGTGAAGGAGTTGGTGGCTCGTCGTCGTCACGCATTAAGCAAGGGAGGGGAAAGGGGAAGGCGCCGGCTCCACCTAGCGACGACGATGACGATGAGGACGAGGAGGATGAGGACTACGTCGCACCAGACGCCGAGGAGATAGACATGTCACAGCTTCCCGACGCGCCTCAGGGGACGCAACCCACGCAATACAACTTGCGATCCACTCGGGCAGCGAAAAAGAGGTAAAATGAGCTTACCATTCTCAAATGTTATTTGATTTCCCTTATTTTGTTTTTAAAATGTTTTAAACATTGGATTTTCAAATGTAGGTACACTCCGGGCTCGCAAGCAATTCGGCGCCAACGGAAGAAGTAATTTGTATGAAGTTAATCTATTGGTTGGTAGTATGACATATGTGGTGTACTATGTGATATAAAATGTGATGGACTATGTGAGGACTATGTGATGGACTTTTGACATTGTTTCATGTGTGGAATATAGGATGGACTTTTTGCATTGTTTGATGTGTGGGATATGTGATGGACTTTTGGCATTGTTTGATGTGTGGAATATGTGATGGACTATGTGAGGACTATGTGATGGACTTTTGGCATTGTGATTTGTGCAATTGGAACCTGTTTTAGTCTGTACGAATCTGTGAATTGTGATTTGAATTGCGAACTGTGAATTGGTACATTTGTGCAATATGGATCTTCAATTTGCAGGGAGGCAGAGGGCGGCGCCAACCACCCTGGCGCCGAGGTTGGGAAGGGCGGCGCCAGCCAGTGCCGCGAGGCAGAAGGGTTTCGGGCTGGGGGAGGGCGGCGCCAGCTACCCTGGCGCCGTGGTCCATGAGGGCGGCGCCAGCCGAGGCCCGGAGGCAGAAGGGCTTCGATGGGGGGAGGAGGGGGGCGCCAGCCACCCTGGCGCCGCGGTCGGGGGGGGGGGGGCGCCAGCCGTTGCTTGGAGGCAGAACAGACTTGGCGAAAATTTTGGGGGGGGAGAAAGTTGGTGGGGCCCGCAGAGGAGGGGCGCGCCAGCCATGCTGGCGCCGTGATATGAGGGGCGGCGCCACTTTGGCTGGCGCCCCCTTCGGCCTAGTCAGCACCTCCACGACAGCCCTATTGCCACGGTAGCACGGGCACGGCGCCAGTGTGGCTGGCGCCGCCATGTTGGGGTACGGCGCCAGCCACTCTGACGTCCCAAAAAGGACCATTTCCGGTTTAAGTTTTCCCAGGGGTCTATTTGTAAAATAAGTTTTCAAAAAGGACCAAAATGTAAAAATTTCAGACTCCAGGTCACCACTGCAGGCCGTGGATCCAGCACTTCGACAGAAGAAGCATCCGATTAAATCCGATATACTAGACGTCAATATGTGCTATTGACTGTAGTGTGACTCCACAACCTGTTCGGCCGAGTCCATTTCTGCGTCCATTCCTGAATCCTGATCCCTCCACCATCACCTGCAGCCGCAAGTCTTCAGGATGATATGCAAAAATAAGTTTTGAACAAGAGCTTGCTTAGCCAAAAAGAGCATGGAAAACTGTGATGCTGCGAGAAAGAAGCATCCAAAGCAGATGACTACCAACAAAGCTCACGAGCCACTTCCAGAGGGCATCAAAGTTGCTACCAACATCAAGAAAGCTCAGGAAAATGCTACATCTTCACGCCGTCCTGTTGCCCCTGTTGTGAAAGCAAACCATGCTTCCATTCAAGGACAGTTTCATGAGAATATTGAGAAAGCAGGAAATTCTTTTGGAAACATTTATAAAGGAAGAGCTGCCAGTTATTTCGTCCCAAGTTACGAATAGGATAATACGAGCACGACTTCTCGAGAGACGGATTGCTGGATTTGGTGGGCTGAAGAATTGGCTTTTCAATTGTGGTGGTTTGTTGACATATTGGACAGTGAAAAGCTGGGGATGCATCAGATAGTTTCCCTTACAATGAACCAGCTAAAAGATATGGGTCTTGATGCTGTAGGTCCACGGAGGAAATTGATCCATGGCATTGAGAGTGTTTCCCAGCCCAACGAGTTTGAGATGTTTTCTTGATCTCAAGTGTCTAATCAGTTGATTATACACCACTGCTACTATACTCCATCCGTCCAAAAAAAGACAAACCCTGGGTTTCCGTGTTTAACGTTTGACTGTTCGTCTTATATAAAATCTTTTTATAATTAGTATTTTCATTGTTGTTAGATAATAAAATATGATTAATACTTTATGTGTGACTTATCTTTTTAATTTTTTTCATATTTTTTTTAAATAAGACGGACGGTCAAACGTTGGACACGGAAACCCTGGGTTTGTCTTTTTTTTTTTTGGGACGGATGGAGTATTTGAGAGGAATGCCTACAGTAGTCAGAGATCAGGATCTATTTTGACCTGAAAATGACACCAGTTCTGGAGGTTTTGGAAGTAGAAAATTAGAAGCAACAGACAGTTCGACCTGAATTAGAAAATGCTTATGAGTGATCCCTTTTCTCATCTGAGATGTTCCCTTGTACAAATATTTTGCATAAGAGTTATTTCTTTTTGTAAGATATGATACCGTCTAACATTGCATACATGGAGTGAGAGCGACAGTTGACAGGCTTTCTTTCTATCTTGATGCTGGGTTGGGCCTCCCCAAATTTGTATATGCTGGTGGGGTACGTAGTTCCCAAGTTGCAAAACTGTGGTAGCTCATGTTTCTATTTGGATTTTTTAAGTTTGTGTATAGTGGTTTTATTTCTAAATGAAATAATGGGTAAAATGTTGAACCGCGATACCATGACTTGTTCTCCTATTCTACTTGTATCAATAGATTTTGAGGATGCCTCTTGCTTCTGTTCAAGAAGGTTTAAGTGTTCTCTCTGTCCAAGTCAATCCCAACCTGTCTAACCTTTTAAGCTCTCTTGGACAATCTGGATCAGGTGCAACTTTTCAAGTGTCCTAAACAGGATTACTTTTAGATCAAATCTTGATTTTTTGCCTAAATGAATCATCACGGGCTGTTAGGCATCCATTTGCTTCAGTGATACACTTATGACAGGATTTTTTCTTCACCATTTTAATGCCAAACAAAAGTTATAATAGCTGAAGTTTTTGACAAGTTATAAAAGTTATGACGATCTTAGGCAAGTTGAGTATATCAACCAAACAGGTCATGTGCAGTGTTATTTTAAAGTAGAACACATTTGGGCATTGTTGGTCAAGAAGAGGAGCTAAGAAGTAAGGAGAGGCGAACCCTAAAATTACCAGAGCCGGATCGTATCCAACGATATATTTAGAGATATTGAAATTGATTGAGAGGGAACCAACAGATAGAAAAAGCGAGGATTAGTGGTCGAAAATGCACAAAGTACCATGTACATTACATAAACTATGGTTATAAAGTTTCATAAAACCCCACCATTATACATTTTAAATACACATTTAGTAAATGTCACTTGCTTCAATTTTTGAAATATAGAGTATATATGAAACTTGCAATTGCCAATTTCTTTATTATATTGTTGGTTTAACTCTCCACTGCTTTAAAAAGTATTGTTTTAGATATTCTGAAATTAGTTGATATTTGTTAAGAGTGGGGTTTTAAGAAATATTTAGACTATAAAATGTGTGATTATATGTCACAAGACATACTTAACGTTGGCTATAAGATGTTGGTTTTTATTATTTTAATTAAAATTTAAACAATTGCGGCCCCATCATTTGGCTTTTTCCCTAATAAGCTAAAACGGCTTATTAGGGAATAAAAATAAATTTGTAGGTAAAACTTTTATATATGTGTTCTAGGTAACTTAAAAGCTAATGCTGAAAAAAAATTAGATTGAAAATATCTCAAAATTAAGTTTGAAAATTTAAAATTTGTTTCTTTTTTGTTGATTAGGCCATCCGAGCCTTCAATGAATCTTGGTAAAGGTAAAAATGTTTGATAAGAGAATATTACTTTCTCCGTTTTATAATATAAGACTTTCTAACATTGTCCACATTCATTTAGATGTTAATAAATCTATACATATGTATGTGTTTATATTCACTAACATCTATATGTATGTGGGCAATGCTAGAGTCTTGCATTGTGAAACGGAGGGAGTATAGCTTTATATAAGTGCATAAGGTGGAAGCAAAATATTTCCTTCAGGATTACAGTATAAAATCAAGACAAAAATCAAATGAACCCTCGTTGAGAGCAGAAAACCCCAAATCCCGCGGTTCCCCCGCGCCGCAAAAATCATCCATGGCTTCTCCGCCGCCACCGGCGGCCGCCGCCGCCGCGAGCCCGAAGCGGAAACCCAAGCCCAAGCCGAAGGCAGCCGGCGCCTCCACCCTAAACCCTAACTGGGCGCAGCTCCAGTCCAAGCTCCCCCGCCCCGTCGCCGCCACCACCCTCGGCAAGCGCAAGCACCGCCCCGACCACCCTTCTCCGGCCCCCGCGCCCACCGAGCCCGCCGCGGAGGAGGAGGCGGCGGAGGTCAAGCTCGTGCCCACCTCCGACGACACCAGGTGAGCCATCAGAGCAAACGCCGCGCGAGGAGGCATCTTCTTGTCTTTGTATTGTGCTGCCGCTTTTGAGATGCTTTGGGTTTTGATTTTGATTGCTGTGGGGATGGCCGGATGGATGGGGAATGGTTTTGGCAGCTTGACGAAGGCGGTCGCTGTGGATTGCGAGATGGTCGGGGTCGGCGCAGGCGGCAGCAAGAGCGCCCTCGGCAGAGTCACCTTGGTAATAAGCACCGTCCTCCCAAATCTCAATTCCATACATCCTTTTGTATTCTGTGCGCACAGCAATGATGAATGAGCTAAATATCATAGTATATATTAATCAGCTCAGTATAGTTCGGGAGTCAAGGATATGCGCGAGCATTAGTTTCGGAGTTTGTTGTTACGATTTGATGAAAATGGTGAGGAGGCGACATAAGCTGTTTAATCTTGAAAGAAGGTAGTATCGTGATTTGTGTTTTGCTGGCAATGAGATTGCAACTGTTTTGAGTACAGAGTTTGATTTGGATTATATTCTAGTTGGACTATTCACAATAGGAGGATGGGTAATGACAAAATGTTGGGCTTAGCTAGTATGTATTGGTATTAACTTTGGAACTCAGATGGATCATTTACTTGATTGGAATTTATGGCCTTATTTGGTTGCAAGGAATATATAGTAAGAAACATGAATTTCTCACCAGTAGCCAGTTCAATTTTTATTTTCACTAAGTAGTGACTAGTTTGTTTGGCAATATTGTCACCTAGTCTTTGTGCTGTGCTATGGAAATGGTTCCCATGCATTGGCTGAGATTTTAAGGGTTATGCTTGAAATTCATGATTTGTAATATTACAGTCAAATGGGCATGGCATGATTAATTGTACCATATAAGTATTCTGCTGATTTGTGTACCCATTTTCGTTATCTTTATCAAAGAACAAAGAAGCTGGAGTTAAACTATGAGACCCACTATTAAACTGTAATACCAGCTATGTGGTAATGCTAACAATGCGTCGAGGAGAGGTTATGTTTGTATCATTTTATTATGCACTCTACTCTCTAGGAAGGAAGGAAGCAACTAAGGAAGTCCCATACTCTTATTTTCTTTTACTGATGGGGAGCAATGGGCATGATGTAGTTCTTGAGAAGGAACAAAAACCAATGTATAGTTACTTCCTGCTTTGCTTTCGTAATTTGAATGTACATATATGTTATTTCTTAGTATGTTGAGTGTTGGATTGATTTCACTGGTTGAAGCATCAAAGGATTTCATGGAATCTGTAAATTGCTGTGGACTTAAGGTTGATTTAGAAAGCTGAAGAGAATTCTAGCCTCTTTATGAAGAAGTTTAGTTATAATAAATACCCTTCTTTTGAATATCACCCATTAATCTTATTGTGCTTTTTACTAGGTTAACTCTTGGGGTAACGTTGTATATGATGAATATACAAGACCGGTAGAGCGGATTGTTGACTACCGTACCCATATTAGTGGGATTAGACCGAAGCACATGAATAAAGGTAAACATCACTAAACTGGCACTGCATGATTTTATTTCTTTAGAGGATGGCAACCTATATGGGTTATGCAACAATGTTGTACAACACTGCAGCCAAAGATTTCTGGGTTGTTCAGAAAGATGTAGCTGAGCTGATCAAAGGAAGAATTCTTGTTGGGCATGCCTTGCACCATGATCTTAAGGTTGTCAATGACCATAATTTAATTATTTATGCACTTTGTGTTCTTGTGTAACACGGTAAACATTTTCCAGGTTTTGCTACTAGGCCACCCAAAGAAGGACATAAGGGATACCTCAGAATATGAGGTTTTTCGAAGGTTAGATGATCTTGACATATATATTTTCTATATTATGTGCTCTTGTTAAGATTGCTCAACATTGTATTGACATGTGCTCCTGTTATATTAGGGAAGGGAAGAGGAGATCACTGAAAGATCTTACTGCTCAAGTACTTGGTGCTAAAATACAACAGAAAGAGCATTGCCCAGTAAGTTATACATAATATTTTTCTCTTTATGCAATGTAGATTTGTTTATTCATTTTAAAATGTACTTCTGATTACTCTTGAATTACTGCTAGTAATCTTTCACATGGTTAATCACTTGTACAGCGAAAACTTGTAATCATTTGACTAAACTTTCTTGTCAATATCATTTATGCTTGTACTAAATACTAATTTTCGTGGCCATTTTGATACTCTTATAGATTGAGGATGCTCGTGCAGCAATGTTCATTTACAACAAGCATAAGAAAGTATGGGAGAAGAATATGAAAGAACAATTCAGATTTAGAAAGAAGCTCAAGAAGCGAGGCAAGAAGAAATCTGCTGAAGGCAGTGGGAATGATCCTAATGTTCCCACGGTTCTTCTATAGAGGATGGATTTAGGAAGCTAGTGTGATGCATTGCCCTACCTGACATGAATTTGAAGATGCCAAAGGCTATTTGTGTGAGATTCTCATGGAACTTAAATGAGGCAGTATGCTGACCCAAGATGTGGTGCAGCTCAATCATGATGAACATCAACACATTTCTCGATGACAGTGTCACGATTCCATGGATTTATCACATTTCATGTAGTAGCATTTGTTTTAGGGAAGCAATATTTCTGATGAAAATTTTGTACCTGAATCTCATATTCTCATGTAATGTTACTCCATACAAACCTCCAAGCTTTGCAGCAAACATATCTATTAATTTATTGAAAAAGTTACAGGAGACAAGACCGGGTTACTGAGAATCGGATTCTGAGGGCTGGGGTGCCTTGTAACCACTGTAGATGCCAGAGCTCTCTGATCATGCCGTTTTCTAATTGTGAACTGATGGTTGTGCAATGGCAGGGAATTGCTGTCCAGCAGGTGCAGGATGAACACCATCAACACCGAGCAGGTGAACATTGGTATTGGCCCGAAGATCCACATCAGCAGCGTTGTCGCGAAGTAGAGTGCACGGAGCCCCATTGACCAGAAGTTGCCTCCTCGGATCACAGCATGCTGGATGTAGCTTGCCGGGACATCAGAATCCAGCGTGGTTATTAGGAAGCTGGCTTGGACATAGTACCTGCATCTCCAGAGGAAACAGGTCTGAAAATTTCTGATTTTGATGCCATGTTATGTTACCTCAGCAGGGTTGGAATACCGGTAGTATCTCCAGAATTAGTGGCTCCAAAAATTCAACTTTAAAGATTCAAATGCAAAAGGTTGTATTTTTTTACTGGTAACCACTAGAAATTTTTCTAAATTCAAGTTTCAAAATTTAAATTTGAATATCCTTCTTTCAGGTATTTACAGAGGCTGGTTTCAGAGGTGAGCAGCAGCTGAAGCCTGAAGGGAAGCTAACCTTGCAGAGTGGATGAAGCAAGTGAAGGAGACGAGGAAGCAGACGAGAAGGGAGATGTACTTCACGGTGGCCGTCGCCTGGGTGCGGTCGCCGTAGACGAGCTCCGTCATGAAAACCTTGGAGGTGCTGCTCACCCAGGCCCCGATGAGCGAGCCCAGCGCGATGCACAGCGACGCCAGGTTCGTCGACGCCGAGATGTTGCTGGAGATGACGCTCAGTGCCAGCCCCGTCTCGTCCGGGCTCGCCTGCAACGACAGCAACACGGTAAATCACCAACCTCCCATCACCACGGCCACACTTGGATTCAGCTGTTCAGTTGTCACAGAAAATTCAGTTGCTCCATGTCGCCGGCGGCCGGCGGTGGGTGGTTTACCTGCACCATGCGGCGGACCCATGCCAGCTTGTTGTGGTTCTCGTAGCCGATGACGGTGGCGGCGGGGCGGCGGAGAATCCGGTAGAGGAGGATGAGGTGGTAGCCGAACATGATCACCAGACCACATGGCACAAGCACCAGGTCCAGGGAGCTCTTCTGCATCATCATCACCACCATCTTCTCTTGCCCTCCTCCGGTTAGACCTGTGTTCTTCTTCCCTTCTTTCTTATTATCAATCACCTACCTCTCTCTGTCTCTCTGGCTCTGCATTATTCTCTCTCTAAGCTCACATAGCCATGATGCTATTATCTTATTTGTGTTCTTGAGAATGTGATCTGATCGTGGCGCATGCATGATTGCGTTTTAATCCGGGTTTATTTGTGTGTGGGTGTGCTAGTGGCAGAGTGGTGGAGCTGGGTTGCTTATGGATTAATGGATAGGATCAGTACGTGGTACCAACGGTACATTCTGGCTTGGCTTGTCGCTTGGGATCAAAGACTTGGGAGGAGGGTCAGGCAAGCAAAATTCATGGAGCTTGCTTCCAAGAAATCCAGGCAATTGTTGCTTCCCGGGTTACTGTATCTCCTAACCTTCCAAGATCCGAAACCCAACTTGCATAAAGCTACATGTCAAAATCAATAATTTATGATTTAAATATAATATAAATAAATTTCTATGGTAGTGGTTGTATACATGTCCCTACTCTGAATAAATCGAGTAAAATTATCCATGTATATATAAAAGCTGCAACTGAGCTTATGGTGCAGCTGCCTGCTAACGGGTACGGGTAATGGAGTTGCAAGCCCGTTACGCCAACTCCTGTGTCTCCGCGTGGAGAATTGCGTTTGCTTGCACTCAATAACCATGGGCCTTCGCTTGAGTACTTGTGGTACATCTCTTAGATTGACAAAATCTCGTGTCGATTCACATCCAAAAACAGGACGATACGGTGATTCGTGGTCACATTCAGAATTCAGGCTTGGCTGATTTGGCTTCCTCTGTTTGCTAGCCTGATTGATCCCAACTGGCTTATATATATTCGAGCTCTCTACATCCGACTAACGATGTTTTGGACAATCCCGTAATGAGATAGATTATAGATTTAGCAGATAATACAACCACTTAAATGTTTAACCTCTCAAGTTTACAACATCAAAGTAGAATATTGAGAAAATTGAAACTGGTCAAGGCTCGAGGAAAAAACCCCCCTACAGGTTTGCAATCATCACATGAATATCAAACAATGCCTTCAAAGGTACTACCACTTTTAGCATTCAGTTAGTACACATATTTGCACTGCTAACAAAATATTCCAGAATGGCAACCTAACATTCCTCCTGGTATAGAAATAAACAAGGTTTCTCCCACGTGAGTTGTAAAAATGTATATTTGTGAGAGTTCGGTATTCTAAGGCAGAAGTAATTTAACTAATGTGCTGAGTTGTACTTCCATTATCTTAATATCCGATAGCTTGTTCTTATATGATAAAATAAATAATTACTTCTGACCAAGACAAACACCAGCCCCTCCTGCCCCGCCGTTCATCCTGTTGCATTCCCTCGAACCATGGATGACAATTTTACCCGTAAGTCTGGTACCCCACTCGATGGGCATGAGTATGGGTTAGATTTAGTGTACATAGTATGCCCGATCTTAACCTGAGTTTTAGCGGGCAGCTAGGTAAATGTTTTATTCTATGCCCATAGGTAACCCATGGGTACCAAAATATACATATTCATATGTGATTTTTGGATGATTGTGTGTCAACACTAACTAAAATATGAACGTTTAAGTGTAACAAAATCATAGGCTACTAATGGCTTACTCATTTATTTTCTTATTTGGTAATAAAATAATTTGTAGTTGTGGAATTATGTATTTTGTTGTGCAATTAATACTTTATGAATTGATGTAAGTTATACTATTGATTGTTAGTGGTTTTATACTTAGGCCTTGTTCTTTTTCTCAACTCCAAACTTCAACTTTCTCATTTTCCATTAACACGTTTTCAAACTGTTAAAATGATGTATTTTTGACGAAAAGTTTCTATTTAGAAGTTGTTTAAAAAATAAATAAATCATTTTTTCAAATTTATAATAGTTAATACTTAATTAATCATGTGCTAATGAGTTTTCTTGTTTTGCGTGTGCAGAAAATATTCCTCAAACTGGATGCACCGAACAGGTCTACTAATCCGTCCAAAAAAAAAGACTACTACTCCATTAAAAAAAAAAACAAATCCTAGCTACAAATCTGAACACACATATGTTCAGGTTCCTAGGTAGGAATTGGTGTTTTTAGACGGAGGAGATAACTAGCTAACAATAGATGTCTAATTGTGATGGTCTATACCTATCAATAGATATATTATACAGTTTTATTAAAAAAAACATGGTAATTAGTGGATACCCAGTACTTGATGGGCATGGACATGGGTTATCTTTTACGCCAGATTTAACTATTAGGTATGGGTGTACGAGGAGTTTAAGATCTTGGATTGGACATGTTCTTACTTCTCCTGAAGCTGATCCACCCATTTCCACCTCTACCTCAAACAGGGGTCTCCTGCAATGGACACGGTGACCCATGATATCGACAACCTAGAACGGAAGCTTATGCTAGTGTGCTACGCATGCAAAGAGGAATCATGGATTGGCAGCCAAAGAACAAGAATTTCACCAAAAGAGACACATCGGAGCTGCTGAATAGCCAGCATGGGCTGCATAAGACATGGGTCAAGTTGCCCAACTTTGATGCAGGAAACATTAAACTTTCTACAAAATTTCTTATCTAAGGGTAGATCCTGTTTAAATTGTTCGAGGGGGTGAACTCTCGGGGTGTAACGGGGTATGTAGTGGTGTATGTGTGCACGTCTTCTATATAACCGGGGAAAAATATCCTGAAAGTAGGGATGAAAACGACTCGGAAACGAACGGAAAACCACTTCTACCTTTTCCTTTTTCATACCTTTTGGAATCGAAATCGAAATCAGAAATCCTAGATACGGAAACATAATCGATATATGAAAACAGAGTGAATTCAGTGGCGGACCCAGCCTAAAATTATAGCTATGGTGGAGTAAAACACAAACTTTTGGATTTTCGTGGCACGCTTTTCAAACTGCTAAACGGTGTGTTTCGTACGAAAACTTTCTATATAAAAGTTGTTCTAAAATATCAGATTAATCCATTTTTTAAGTTTGTAAAAAATAAAACTCAATTAATCACACGTTATTACCATATTGTTTTGCGTGAAACACTTAATCTTCATCTTCAGGAGATTCAAACACCACCTTAGTATACTTTAAATTCAAAATAAAGAATCTATAAGGCAGGGGAAAGTGTTTTCTAATTGTAGATTAGATTTTTTCCAAGCCCAATCGTAAAACAATACTAAAAATATCTAAAAAAGTATCAAATTCTAAGACTTGGAAACAAACTTCAAATTATAATCTGTAGCTGAACCACGTGGGCTCAAGATCTTAATTACTAAAAGAAAAACAAACTTCCTAAAGGACGAAGGACCATTGACTCCGTGAGGTACGCAAGCTCCGTCAGGACGTGGAGCGCTCCTCCTCGTGGTCGAGCTAGCGTCGTCTTTGCCTCACCAACAGGGGGGCTGCTAGCTGGCGCGTGCGCGCCAGAAGCGAGCATCTCTCTAACTAATCTATAGTAGTATTAGTTAACACCCACTTAACTACTAATGACGAGTAATTAGAAAAAGATTGTCAAGATTTTTTATTTTTTTGGGAGATTTTTTTCAAGTCAGATTTGAAAACTTTTGATTTAAGATTTAAATTTTAAAGTCAAAATTTGAAAACTTTCTACTCGGATTTGAAAACTTTCAACCCGAGATTTTGAAAACTTTCAGCTCAGATTCGAAAACTTTCAACTTGAGATTCGAAAACTTTCAAGTCCAGATTTAAAAAATTTGAAAACTTTCAACTTGAGATTCGAAAACTTTCAACTCAGATTCGAAAACTTTCAAGTCCAGATTTGAAAATTTTGAAAATTTTCAACTTGAGATTTGAAAATTTTCAACTCGAGATTCGAAAACTTTTAAGTCCATATTTGAAATATATGAAAACTTTCAACTGAGATTTGAAAATTTTCAACTCGAGATTTAAAAACTTTCAAGCCCAAAATTTAAAAATTTAAAGTTAAGATTTAAAAATAACTAGTAAACTAAAACTAATCACTAGTAAAAAACTAATCTAAACTAATTACGTGGAACAGCGAAAAAGAAAAAAAAAGAAAGAAGCAGCGAAAAAGCCGTACCAGCGAAAAAGAAAAAATAGAGAGAAAGGACCAGCGAAGAAAAGGAGAGCGCGTGCGCGTGGGCTGCGTGGGCCGGAAACGCGCGTTGGCGGCGCGCGCTAACTAGCTTTTCCGCACCAACAGATGTCACTCAGCCATGGCAAGTCGGCAGCTCAACGGCGATGTAGAAGACAGAGGTATATGGGGTATTGGTGCCACGGGACAGCTATGGCGGCCGCCACAGCATGCCACAAGGGAGGGTCCACCCCTGAGTGAATATGGTAACATATATTTATCGGAATATGAAAAAACTCTAATTGAGCTTGTCAAATCAATAAAGAGATGTAGCTCGTTATTTTTTTAAAATAATAAATTGATATTTCTATTTTTTATCAATTAATAATAATACAAACAGTTGCACATTTCACTTTTAAAGAGAACTACAATAAGTAAGAACTATATTCATCTATGACAGTAAGTAGTATGGCATGGTTTAATAAAAAAAAAAGTACTTCCTCCGTTTCACATTAACATTAATATGAATGTGGAAAATGCTAAAATGACTTACATTGTGAAACGGAGGGAGTAATTGGGTAAACGAAAAACATATCTAAAGCATCATACTAGAAAAAAAATACATGCATTCAAATAACAACGTCAATACTCAGTACAAACGTGAACATCTAGAGTAGAGAAGGTTGAAGCTAATTAGCTGTATATGAAGAGTAATTCATTTATGATCCCGAGGAAAAAATTTTTTGGAAAGTTTCCGATCGTTCCAGATTCCGACGGATAGTAGTCTTAACGTATTCGTTTCTGTTTACGAGATAAAAAAATCAGAATTTGTTTCCGTTTCTGAAATTTTAGGAAAAATTTCAACCAACACTTTCTGTTTCCAGAAACATGTCCGGAAACCAGAAACATTCTGAATCATTTTCATCCGTACCTAAAAGGAATGCAAACTAATCATTACTCAACATTAATTAGGAACCCCCAACCAGGATTAGGGCCAATCTCTTTGGAATGGTTAATGGTGGATATACCAATTAAGAGGTATGGTCTCTAATATTTACATATCCAAACGAGATCTTAAATTGTTATCAATATTTATGCCAAGTTGATACTTTAAAGTGTGTGTGAGTGTTTGGCTATGTGCATGTTAGTTATGCAGAGCCTAGGATTGTTCTCAGTACGATACGATAGTATCACCTTGATGTACTTGACAAGCTTCCTTTATATCAAAAAAAAATACCAAGTTGATAATGTAAGCTGTGAACTAGCTAGCACTAACAAACAATTACAAAGAATTAAAAGTTTATACCTTGAATTGTGAAATATGATCATTGTATATGGAACATGTTTGATGCAGCAAGCTAAAAAAAATACAGAATTATGACAGGTTCTGAACACTAAGCAGGCAGGAAATCAAACTGGTGAATTATGAAATGTGAGCAAAATAAGATAAAGGAACGCATGATATGAGGTTCTTAACGATTCACTGGTTTATCCATATAATGGCCAACCACACACAACACAAGTAACTAGGACTCCACAATCAAAAATAACATCCACACTCTGGACGGACACATATAGTCACAACAAAATTTGATCCACTCCAATTAAAACACAAGAAAACTTATTTGGGTCTCAAACGTTTCCAAACAGCAGGCACAGCTTGCAACACTTGGTAGTAGTTTCATTCAGCATTGCATACTATTTGCAGAAGCCCCTCAGCCTTCAGTTCTAATAGAAGTCAATATTGATGGAACCTCCATGGCTAATTTAGACCAATGCCATCAACTGATTGGTCGTGAGTTTGAACGACCAATTCACCTAAAGTTGAAAGGTTCAGAATATTATTAGGAATTCAGGTTTCTAGAAATGATAGCACAAGGATATACAAGACTACACACATATGTGTCATGGTTAAAAGTGGTATATACATTTTTTGAAAAGGCAAAGTTGTATATACATTTTTTGAGAAGGCAAAGTGGTATATATACAATTTTTGAGAAGGCAACGTGGTATATACATTTTTTGAGAAGGCAAAGTGGTATACACATACAATCTAAAATGAATGTTTTATGCTTCCTTGCTATGAAAAAAATCACTATATTAATTTCTAGATAAGATGGCAAATTCATTCGCATAAGTATGGTCACACAAAAATGTGTGATGGTTATGAGAGTAAAATAATGTCTGCAAGAAAGGATCAGTGATACCTATCTATTAGTAGCTGTCAACTCTATGCTTGTGACATTTGAAGCATCAATGAGAGTGATTGTTGCGAATGTTAGGTAACATTTTGTAAATGAAGAACTACCCGTTTGTTGACCCTTGATGCACAATGAGACCAAACTCGGAGTATAGATGCATACATTCTTGAGAAGAGAGCAACCAATCAGATCCAGATTTTATAGTGAACTTGAAGAAATTTGTTGCACCTCCATTAAACACTCTTTTACTACCAGATTTTCTAAAGTTGGGCATGCGTTGTTGAGAGGATCAAATATCGTTTCATTTAGAGCAGCATTAGTCAGCTCTCGAGTTTTAAGATACCAAGAACTGAACTCCACAAGTTTTGGATCCAAGTAGAAAGGTTCCCATCTTTCATACTCGGCAAATTTAACCACTTTAGCGTTGTGCTTGATAGCATGATTGACCCAAGAACTAGCACGGTCAATCGCAAAAGAATCTCTCTTGAATGTATCCATGGGAGCATCAAGATTGTCACGGCTAAGCAATAGTTTGTTAATAGAACTACCAAAAATTTCCCTATCTAGGCAAAACCAATTTATATCAAGCTTGATCAACTGCAAGCAAGTCCTCTTGCTGACCCACCAGTGGGACGGGACACTAGTTCGCACCGCCTCCTTCATCGATAAGAAGGACATTATGTGGTGGATTAGATTGTTAGGGAGTTCGCTGATCCTACCTTTTCCATAGGGATTGGAGGGTTCCTTGTGGCCTGCAGTGTATAAGTGGATACTCTGTTACTTAGTGTAAGTACATGATCTTTGAGAACCACACAAACAACTCGCAACAATTTTACAATTTTTATGTGTGCTGAAGTCTAGCTTCACAGAGATATTGCTATCTTAAATGCACTTTACACAAATGATAAAGAATTTCCCTTGGGTAGCTTTGAGTGTTTTCTTAGAACAGTAAGGAGGTTGAGGCTCACACATCAATCAAGCGTTGCATGAGAATAACAAATATTCATGGTTTTTGCACCAAAATTACCAATGTGTAAAGGACACAAATATGAAAATTGCTTTAACTCAAACAGGGGAATCGGGTTGTGGATTTGCAAATTTTATTGGCATATATTTTTCATGCGTAAAGCATTCCAGAAGATTAGAATCATGTGTAGACTATGGAGAAAATACATCATGTAGGCACCATAAAAAAGAACATACCACTAGATGATGTCCCCTGAACATTTCCTTGTGCATGGATAATTTCGCCATGCTTATTCTTCTCATGGAGCAAGACAACTGAAGGGGTTGAAGCTTGCTTTCGAACATGAAGAAAATTGTTCAACAGCACAGGATATGAATCATCCAAATCGCCTTTTATAAGACCAGTCCTCCATAGATAATCACTCTAAGTAGTGCGAGAAAGAAAAAAATATGAGAACTTTTATTAAAACATAACATCCTATATTGAACCATAACTTTATGAATACCAGAGAAAGCATACAAAGATAGCAAATTAAGAGGGCATGTCCACAATCTGGCAAGCCAAGAATAAGTGCATAATCAATATATGAAAGAATTTATCTAGCGATACACGTATAAGCGAATAAATCAGAAAGTGATGATTCTATCCACAATATTAAAAAGAAGTTAATCGAAAGGGGAACATAAATATTTGGAATTGTGTATAAACGAACACTTTAATTAAATACAACCTCAGTCCTAGTGTCTTCCGCGCTACAATACTGGAATAGTAATTAATTTTTTTTAATTAGATTGACAAAATTTGCATAGAACATATTGCAACCATATGTTCTCAAGTAAGATGGTCATCCTAACTGTATCACACAATTGTTATAGCTCTAAGTAGTTATAGACTTCTTGGCAATAAGTTGTACTCATTCAGGAGCTTTGAGACTTTGCAATAATCAACAGATGAACAAAATTGCTACTATTAAGGTTAACAATATTACGTGCATTAAGATACATAAAAAATAAAATTAATATCTAAGGAAATTATATTGCTTAAAAAACTATTAAGAACAAACCGTCATACAAAGTCAATAGCTATTTTGTAGATTCTCTCCTGTATTCTGGAAGCAACATTTTGAAGATCAATCAATGTTGTTGAAGTAGTTGTTTTCAATTTCATCTGCAGGCTTACCAATCTGCAAAGAGAATGCCGAATATTAATATGAGATACTAAATATTTCACTATGGTACTTCCAACCGAAATAATCCAAAATATGGTTCTAATATAACAAACAATAAGCAGCCAGGCAATTGATGGATTGGGGTAGCATGCCTTTATGCAAGAAATACATGCCTGCTATGTATTCACTATTTGAGAAATGCATCTTTGCTAAAGTAACATGTTTGGAATCGCAGATACATTCTCATAAATACTGAAATATCATTTGTCCAACCAGAAGTGTCATCTTTTAGCAAAGTTGTGTCATCATGCGTGCTAATAGTTTGGAGGAGATCATTGATAACCAATAACACGGAGGAATTATAAATACTACAAACAAAACAAGAAGAATGTGTGAACATGGGACCATCTTCTTCATGAGTTTTACCACCTACATCCAACAAAAAAAAACAACCTAAACCTACAAGTATTATCTACTAACAGATCTTCCCTATTTTTTGGAGTAGCTGCATCATCTCATATATTTTTGGTTGTGTAAGGTGGACTCAGTTACACAACTGCACAATCAACACCATGACTTCTCCAGTTCTTCCCCTGTTCTTCCTCTTCCCTAAGAGTTTTAACACCTAATTTAATAAGCTAGCCCAAAAAATTTGAAAGACATAATATATAGACTATGTGCAGCACTAAAACACTAGTCCATTAAGCTTAGACCCATGCAAGGAGCTGGCCACAAAATTTAGTATTGAATTATCGACATGCAACCTTAGTTCATTTTATTTTGGCGACGAATCATTAACTTGGGTCATTTTCTAAATATGAAACAATTTACCTTTTATATTTGAGTACAATCAAAATATAAAAGGTTTGAATCCAACCAACAAAATTTTGCCAAGAACAATGCTTTTTGGGCGATCTGGGCCTGTGGTAGGGCTAGATCCTTGTCCATTATAGCCAGAGCCGAACCAAACACTAATAGATCCTCGGTTTTTTAAAAGTGAAGTGCGTGGATCTGCTCCAAAAAAAGAGGTAGAAAAGGTGGAGCTACCTTTTTTCAGATCCACAACTCCAGCTCCATGTAAAATTTGGAGCTCTACCAAACAGATCTATCTGTTACTTGGAGCTAGAAAATGTCAGATTGGATCTGACTTCCGGTATGATGAATTAATTAGATCATTAACAAGTATAGCATGGATGATGGTTTCCAATCTTGATAAATCATCATCAATTGAAGACTCTATAATCAATTTCTCATGGGAAAAAAAGTAAGAACATGAGAGAGAGAGAGAGAGATGAGGGGGAGTGCTTACATATCATGTGTTACCCTATCGCGAATATCCTGGCCAAGGCGGGTCCTCCAGTCGACTCCTTCGTCGATAATCCCTAACTCGTCCATGGTGTGCTTCTTTGGTTTTGTTAGGCAGAAGAAGTGCCCAGAGAGGGGAAGAACAATAAGAGGTCGATGATATAGGTAGAATTGAATCTTATAGGCTTTAGTTGTTGGTGGGATCCACAAAAGAAGTAACGCTTCCATGGGAGAAGGTTCTGGCTCACATGACATGACAACATTGCCTAGCTTATAACACGGGAGAGGGGTATGGCCCACATGATGTGACAACATCACCTAGCATATAACACGTGATGTAGCTTCTAGAACCTTGACAAAATCCTATGCAAAAAAGTTTTGTGGCAATTGATGTCCAATATCTATGAGTCAGAAACCGAGACCAAAAATCAAACCAAAAATAACCAAGATCAAACCCAAAATAACCAAGACAAATGAAACCGAACTTCTTTGCATGGGATATTCAGACTACCGATTCTATTCAAGCCTTATTCTAATCCACTCCTCATTCCTCAGCCAGTCCCTTGTGCTCCATCAACTGCCACAGCCAGCACCCCTTCCTCCATTATGGTGCTTCTCTCCCTCTTCTTCCCGCCTCAAAATTTCTTGAGCGTGCCTCCTCGGCTTCAATCCCATCTTGGGCACACCTTCTTGGCTGGGTGGCCACACATGGCGTCCATTCCCAGCCAGCCACCACCTCTCATCCATCCACCTCCACCTCTAGTCATGATACCATCATCGGGCCGCCACTGCCTCTACAGTGAAGTGGAAATGGTGGGAAGGACTGGAGCTAAGGGTCTAGCAGCTGGTAGGTTATTGCGATGGTGGTGCCTCTCCACTCCACATGTGCAGCTGGCTAGGGCCTATCCCCTTCGTGTACTTCGCATCTTCACGCTGCTACTGGCATAGGCGGTCACGACGACTGATGGTGGCCATCTCCTCGGGGGAGAGTCAGAAGTCCATGTGAAAGTATTAAGAATGGAATTTTGCATCAGATTCGGAGAAGAAGAAGAAAGATCGAAACGGATTTGGTGTGGAATCGAGTTAATATCCAAGTCCGACTGTGCATCGGCTAAGTATCGTATCGGCTGAAAACCGGACAGAAGCTTGACTTGGCCGATACGGCATAACTTGGGCTTGGCATGGGCCTAAATTGAGCTCATGTAAGTGTCGATGCGAAAAACACGCACTGGCCTAAGAGATTTGCTTAGTGCATGTCCAAAAAAAAACTTGCCTTCAGGTTCTAAGCGTGCCAGTTGGTTTGATCCTGCAACCAACAAGAAATAAAAGAGAACAAAGTTAAATCCGTAAACGATAGCCGATCGGCTAGATTTCCGATGACGTACCATTCAATATCAGGCCCATATGGTAAAGATCAGATCGGCAATGGAAAAATGTAGCACAAGAACACATAGGCCCACCTGATCGGCTGTAGATATCAATAAACTTATAATCAGTTCCTCAGAATATATTTAAACTAAGTGATTTGGATAGATCGGACAGTATGCCGAGTAAGTATGAATCACTTATGCCTAAAAGTACTCTGAAATAAAGATTATAAACACTCATACCATAGCCGATGAAGCAAACCTAGGGCATATCGGCTAGTACTCCGATACTACTCTATATTAAGATATGAAAGTGGATGAAATATACTGAACAGGAACCGATCTAACATCAGGATGGCCTAATAGATTGATAGCAAGCTTAATATATTTCAAACAAACGAGATCTTAGTATAGAGGACAGATTTAGCATATCAAGCAAACGCAAGAGCGACAAGATAACTAAACCAGATAAGATCGGATGAAAACCTGATGCTATCTCTATTAGCAACTATAGACGGGCTAGATATTGCAATTCCAAACATTACTCGATATAGATCAAACTCAACTGATGCAGCATTAAGTCATGAAGAGAAGTGCAAGATCTAAACAAGTCGATAGAAGCTCTTCTGAGATGGTAGATACGCTATATAACCTAATTCAACGTCGATAACTAACTTGCCGACTGTTTTCAATGATAGAGGCTAGCCGATGGGGTTGGATAACGATATTAATCTAGGTTATATAGCATATATGATAACTCGGCGATTCACATAGGCAAGATTAGAGTGTCATGATGATGTAAGCACTAATCCCGAGAACGCAAACCGCCATAACAAGCCTTACCTCTTCGTCGGAGATCGAGACCGATGTAGCCCAACTCGAAAGCAAGAATTCGTCAAAAACAATAAGAGTAGAAAAAGGGTGGCGATGCGCTGAAAGTATTATTGAACTGGTGTTGTTTGTTTACAAGGCATCTGGCTATATTTATACCCGAAATAGTTAATATATCCTTGCTGGACACGACTTTATCTCTATTACAATTTAAAACACGAACAATTCCCTTAGACGGACTCTTATCAAAAAATATATCTAAGGGAATTAATTAAAAACATCCTAATTAATAGATACAATTGCCTTCTTTGGACCCAATCCTTGTATGGCAATATCGGCGTAGTGTCTTACCACCTTGAAAATTCAGTCAACGGCTTGATTGTCTAGATATCGTGTTTCTTTTCATACTTAGTGCTGCATCAGTACATTGGACCTACTAAGTCATGTTTAGAACCATGATCTCTAGCCTTCTTCTTGATTGCTAATATGGTAGTATCGGGGTTTCAGCTGATCTTACCTAATATATATGTTTCCTTATCTGTTCCATGTATATTTTCCATCTATATAGACATATCACCTAATAGTAATATATCAAGTCTAGGTCATATCGGCTGGGCTATCAATATTGGCTATTGACCTATATTTGGTATATTACTATAGATTGACTTGCCCATATAGATCTGTACTAGAGTATTAGCTAGTATATTATCTTTCTTGCTCTAATGTCACATCGGCTATTTTAATAATATTGTCTTAAGCTTCTTTATCAATCTTGATAGACAGTGTTACAATCGATGATGTATATTTAGGGTTTAATATTCTTTGATATATCTATTCTATAGCCGATTTTGTCTAACTCCATCGGCTGAGACCACCAATGATACGTTATTGGCCTATCGACTGACTAACTCTGCTTTTGTCTTTCTTGCTGATTGTAGGATCAAATTAGCTGGCACGTCCTTGACACACTCGAGACTAGCCTTGGACTTACACTGGAGTTAAGCAGATCTCCTAGGCCACCGTATTTTCACGCAAGCACCATGGTAGATGGTTGTTCTGGTCTAGTTGGTCAGACCGAGAAACAAGACCGAACTATCAGAATGGCCGATTCACACATTTGTGCTGACAAGTGATCAGTCTTCCATTTTCAATGACCAAAAAGACTGGACTGAATTATCAGTAATGATGGAACAACACCCCTGGAAATACCTATCAACAGGAAGTTGTATTCCAGCGTGGTTCTTATAGGATAGTACGTTGCGGTGATTAATGAAAAGGAAATGACTGAGATTAATTATCCCTAGAGGTATTGTTTGAATATGTTTTTAACCCTGAGCTACAAAGCAGGATGTTTCCACCCCAAGAATAGTTGGTGTCGCCATAGTTGGCGTCATGTGTTCATCTATATGTGCGTCATGAGTTGGCGTTGCATTCTTGGCAAGCTGTCACAAAATCATTATCCAGGCTGACATGCACAATGTTGTCATAATGAATATAGATCTACTACAGCTACTAGTGTCATTCTCTTGCACGTCTCTCCAAAAACCAGTCGGAATGGAACTGGAGAGGCCAACATGCGACACGATGTGCATGCGGACAAACACGCACGAGCCGCTTCCCTGGCACATACTGTGGGGGGAGAGGGGTGGGGGGGGGGGTTTAGACCACACATGGTTGCCACATCACAAGGGATACCTCCAACTGGTTTGGATAGACCCAGTTTTTGAAAGGAGTTCAAAGTGAAATTTGGACAATGTATATAATCATGTCAAAGAAAAAGCATGTTGAAAATCAAATCATTTAGAAGCCCCGAAGCAAACATAGTCATATATAGAAAAAAAAACGAAACACAGATGTGGTTATGCTTCTTGTGGTAGAACTTATCTTATCCACTAGAGTTAAGTTCTGTACTTTGACATTGTTACGACGTAACAACGTTGGTTTGTGTGAGTATGAGTCTTTTGTCTTTTTTGCAATCGCCAACCTTGCACGAAACATATTTCTTTACACAACACATGTAAAGGGGATTGGTCTCACTTCATAATAGTCCCCTTCAACAAATTTTGCCAACTATTCGAATGAACCAATTGCCTCAGTTTTAAAGTACAAGCGTTTCAGGTAGAATCCAATTGACAGGAAAAAGCTAAAATCATGCGGTTTTGTGTTGGAAAAAAATCACAAAGATAAGATTAACATCTCGAGGAATGGGATTTATTCGTGGAATGAGCATACGCTAGGGTTCCTCTACCAATTTTCAGATTTCACCGACGATCAAAAAGAATATTGTTTTTCAGAAATTTAATCACTTCTATATTAAAAGCACTCCATTTGCTGTACATTCGGGTCAACATTATCCGTACAATTTATACAGAAAAAAATGCAAAAAAAAGAATGAAAAAAATATTATGCAAAATTCATCACATGTTTTTCTACCAAGAGGAATTTCTAATCCCTATGACTGTCCTAGTTAGTTGTTAACAGTGAAATTTGGTAAGCTCCGAAGTCATCATCGGCCTAAAGTCAGTATCGGCTTCAGAGTCCTAGAATCGACCGATGGGAATTATTAAGTCACCAATAGTCGGATTCTTAGTAGATTCGGTTAAGGAAATTAATCTACTAAAGGAAGTTTATCCAGAAGTGACCGAGTTCAAGGAGGATGCGGCATAACAGTTTATCTATTAATTAGGAATATTCTGTTAGTTTCCTTTTATCTTTAGGAAAGTGTGTTTAGTGTCCGATAAGGAGTTTATGTTTTCCTTTAATCTTTAGGAAAATTTTTTTCTTTTCCAACAAGGACTAGTATCTACCCATAGGTATAAATATGTATACCCGGGGTCATTGTAAACTATCTCCACGAATACAAATTCAGCGCATCACCATCCTTTTTACTTTTCTACTTTTTCGACGAGTTTATACTTATCATGGCTGTTTGCGTTGGCGGGGCTAGGGCTTCAACACTCTGATCTTGTCAATGTAAGCACCTATCTATCATATGTAGTTTGGTGGTTTATTTTACTTGTATCGGCTAAGATTCGTATTAGGGTTTATGCTGGTATCGACTAAATTGCTTTACCAAATTAGTTTAGCTAAGGTATCTACCACCCTGAAAATCAGTCAAGGGCTTGATTGTCTAGATATTATGTTTTTTTTTCATCAGCCCTAGTCGTGTACATAATTCAAATGTATTTCCATTCTTCAAACAAGCTATTTCTTTTAATATTTTAGTATTGCACATATATCAAGGAGCATGTCAATGATAATGATAGTACGGCCGCTCACCACTCTATGAGGAAAGTCCACTCTTATTAATTATACATATGTTGCATGGATAGTTGTATGAGGACGTGATGGATGCATCATATCGTATTTATGTTTGATGCCAATCATTGGAAAATAAAGAGTAGAGATACGCAATGTTAATTTTCACCCCCTTTTTATATGCCTAATTGTTTAAACACACCTCTAAATGTGATTAATTGATTAAAACAACACAATACCAAGTGATAGATTTCAGTAAAAAAAGAAAAACCATGTCATAGAACCATAATATTTGAAAGAAGGCACCAGAAGTATTATCGAGTTTGTTTTCTTAATCCCAGATAATTGTCATTTGTTTCCATTTCGTAACAAACATACATTTCTTTCTCATATAGCAAATAAAGTAAATAAGTAGCTAGGTAATCTTAACACGAAACTTTATTCCATCTTGATCATTGTTTCTTCATCTTGCCAATCATATGTAGTTCAGAATACGAGGCAGATCAACAATCTTGACTGGCTTCAGAATATAATCCTTTGCTCCTCCATCCAAGCACCTCCAACAAGGAAAAAAAAAGAAGGAAAATGGAGCACATATTAGGATCCACTTGCTCAGATTGAGAATTTATCAACTAAGGAAATCAAGGTATATGTGTTTGTACTTACTTTCTAATCCTTTCTGGGATGTTATCAGAGGAAGCAATTACCACTGGGAGATGTGCTAGTTTAGGTGATTTCTATAAGTAAAAACAAGTCCAATTTGAACATGTAAAATATTTGGTAGAAACATTATAAAATATATATGATGAAGATTAACACTATACTCCGATCCGTGATACTATTGTACGCACCTTCACTTCCATGAGTAAGTCATAGCCGGTCATGTCTGGCATACAGTAATCGCTAACAATCATGTTCACATCATGTTCCTGTGTCCATCAGAGATAAATACATGTTTGTTATACAGTTGTAAATAACATTACCTAATAAACAAGAAGAGAACTTTTAATTTACCGAATCCAAAAACATCAATGCTTGCATGACACTTTCTACTGCAGTCACTGCATATATCAAACATGGAAACACTTAGTTAATAATAGTCAAAAAGAATGTCAGAAGATATCAAACATGGAAATACTTAGTTAACAATAGTCAAAACTCGGAAACTTGCATAACAAAGAACCTCGGACGTTATGGCGCATTAAGGCCATGGAAACAACATGGCGATCAACAAGGGTATCATCCACAACAAGCACATGGGGGGATGACATCGCAAACTGTTGGTGTAGAGTTACTTTGAATTGTTGTTGAGGAAAATGGACCTAGAATGCACATATTTATAGTGCAAAAGTCTTAAAATCTTGGAGATATTTCAAAGATATAATATCAATTCACTGGCATGAAAATTAGCTGTCATATCTTACAGTATCACTAGTGACTGTATATTTGATAATTTTGATATACCATACAATGCAAAATGATTGATGGCTTTGTCCTCTTTCGTACCCATAGTGTTGTTCATTTTTCACAAATTAATTATAGTGACCTTGCAACAATTATAGCTACCTAGGAGCAAAGATACAGTCTAATGAATGAGCATATATTTTATATATCTGTATTGATAAATGAATTTGCCCTATTTAATTTGTACTTCCTCCGTTTCAGGTTATAAGACGTTTTGACTTTGCTCAAAGTCAAACTGTTTCAAGTTTAACTAAGTTTATAGACAAATATAGTAATATTTATAACACTAAATTAGTTTCATCAAATCAATAATTTAATATATTTTCATAATAAATTTGTCTTGGGTTGAAAATGTTACTACTTTTTTCTACAATCTTCGGTCAAACTTAAAGCAATTTGACTTTGACCAAAGTCAAAATGTCTTATAACCTGAAACGTAGGGAAATATGTCAATACAACAAAGAGGCTAATAGAAACTAATTAATTGGTCACACTCTGGTTTGATAGACGGCATGGTACTAAATGAAAGAAAAGAAAGCAAGTGAGCAGTGGCGTACTTTGGCATGGCGTGGTCCTTTTGTCCGAAAGGCCCACCTCGTGGAGCTCTTATCTTCTCCTCTATGGTTTTTACATGAATTTATTCTAGGAATAAGTTCATCTGAGGTCCCTTAACTTGTCAACGAATCCGATTTTCGTCCTTCAATCCAAAAACCAGATACAATGGGTCCCTCTACTATCAAAACCAATGCAGACAAGGTCCCTCGGCGATTTAGATGGCGGTTATGGCTGACGTGGTGCCTACGTGGCTAATTTGACTCGGTCTTCATCTGACGTGGCAATGACGTGGCGCTGATAAAACATGTGGGACCCACATGCCAGTTTCACACCAAAATAATAAAAAATGGATGGACCCACGTGGGCCCCACATGTAATCCTCAATCCCCAGCGGTTGCTGGTGCTCCTCTTCCTCCTCCGGCATTGCTCCTAGCCAGCGGCAGTGGCGGAGGTGAGCGGTGCCTCTCCCTCCCCCGGGAATCCGCCGCTGCCTTAGGTTCCAGGCTCCTCCCTCGCCGGCCCACCGCCTCCATCCTCCTCCCCCTGCACCGCCTCTGCCGACTACTCGGCGACGCCGGTCCCGTCCTCCCCAACAAGCTCATCTGGGTGATTTTGGCCTGTCTCCCGGTGAAGGGGCTCCTCCGTTGCTACGCCATGTGCCGTCCCTGGGCGCGTGTCTTGGTGCGGGTGCTGCTCAGCGTAGGCTGCGTCAAGGGTGGGCGCTAGGGGCAACGGCTGGCAGCGGCGCCGTAGGCCAGGGCCAGGCAGGCAGCAGGCAGCAAGGTTTGCCTCATCTCTCATGCTTCGTGATGGATCAGATATCTGCTACTGCTATCTCTATCTGTATGCTAAAGTTGTTCATATGGTTGGTTTTTTATCCATATTTCTGCCCTGCTTTAGTGCTGATTATATTGCTGGTTCTGTTTTAGTTACCTTTGAGATGTGCCTAACTGCCTAATTCATTTGCTATTGTTTTATCCAGTGAGACCATGGAACAAGAACGGAAAGGAGAAGTTTCCAGTGCATGTATACTTACAATCATAATTCTGACAGTGGGTTTGATGTCCATAAAATCTTTGTTAAGAGGAGCAGATTCCGGGTTCTGTTGTTAAGAGGAGCAGATTCCAGGTTCTGTTGTTAAGAGGAGCAGATTCCGGGTTTGATGGATGAAAATGAACGTGTTTTTCTTATTGGGTCTCCCTGTTTGATCATGTGCAGAGTCAGTGGTGATAATGCCAACTTTTGGGTTCATAATGAGTTCATGACGATGAACTAGTTGTGTCTATGAATTATACCTCTGATGGACCGACGAGCCAGTGGAAAAAGGGAATGGTGAGGGCGGCGTTGAACTCGCAGGCCCAACTGCCCAACGTGTCGGCAGGAAGAGCTTCTTGACGAGCTCTTCTTCTTCTCCTTCCCGCCGGAGCTGGAGATGACGGCGTACTTCTTGATTTTGCGTGCGAACAGCCCCATGAAGGCGTTCTCCACCAGCCTGTCCCGGTATTCGGTCTTCTCCCCCATCGGTGCTGGTGCCGCCACCGTGAACCGAAAGCCGCTGCCCTGATCTAGTTCGGCCGCTGCTCCCTCGTCGCCCGCCGCTTCCACGACCTCGTCCCCCTCGACGACTCTGTGCTGGTCCGCGTGACTGCGTCATCCGAGATGACCCCGCGCCACCGTCGTCGTCATCATCCTCGGCGGCAGCGGGGACTGGGGAGAAGGACGACAACGGCTGCGGCGTGAGGAGAAGCACCGACGGCGCGGCGTGACCTCTCACTGCCGGATTCCCGGGGGAGGGAGAGGTGCCGCTCGCCTCCGCCGCCACCGCTGGATAGGAGCAATGCTGGAGGAGGAAGAGGAGTAGCACCAAGCCAGCAACCTTAGGGGATTGAGGATTACATATGGGGCCCACGTGGGTCCCACCATTTTTTATTAATTTAGTGTGAAACTGACATGTGGGTCTCACATGTTTTATTATTTTTTTGGATCGAATTGCCACGTAAGCGCCACATCAATGCTACGTCAGATGAAGACCGAGTCAAATTAGCCATGTAGACGCCACGTCAGCCAAAACCGCCATCTAAACTGCCGAGGGATCTTGTCTGCACCGATTTTGATAGTTGAGGGACCCGTTGTATCTAGTTTTTCGATTGAAGGACGAAAATCGGATTCGTTGACAAGTTAAAGGACCTCAGATGAACTTATTCCTTTATTCTATAAGGCCCACCTTGTGGTCTTATTTTTGTGGCGACTCGAAGCTGCGTTTCATCCTTCATTGTTTTCCAAGGCTCTCCTCGCGTGTTCCTTCTTTATTCAGGTGTTTAGGAATGGAATCAGATGGGGATGGATGAATCAGCCATTGGCCATCTAAATCGTGGTGTTTATAGATAAGAAAACATTGGGAACATGGCTTCATTCGGGAACAATGGTGATCAATGGCGTCTCCTCAACTCTTGAGCATATCGACACGTTTTCAGATGAGATAGCTGCAATAGGATACAGTCACTGGACAAAGTGTGAACACTGGAATTCCAGGCAAATGCACACAGTTCAGTGAACACTAGATAAATTATCTCCTCCTTTATGTTTTGTGATAGTTACATGTGGGAGTTCGTCACAACTATAGCTGGAGTTCTATGACCAAAATACTTCACCGCCATGTGCTGGCCCTACTCTTGTTTTGAATAATGCCTTGTTTACAACGATTTTGTCATAGAATCTCATACCTACGGATGGAACTAGCTACCATGGACCCATGAGGTCCATGGCTACCAAGTTCTATGACAAAGTACTTTGTCACCATATGCCAACCCAAATTTCTAAATTGCGCAACATTTCAGATGGCCATGTTTGCCATCGTGACACTTTTTGTGACCACAAACTCAAGTTTCCACTAGAATCAACCGAGCCTGAACTTTATGATTATTTATTGAAAATTCATCAGAGATTAACGATGGATTCCCTTTTTATCACAGTGAATCCATTATAGAAGGCCAAATCTATTGTAGTCATATATGTCATGGGCTGAAAAATAAAGAGAGAATAAGGGGGTCTTGCAATGGCGGAGATAGCCATAAAAGCTGCGACTCGTGAAGATGTAAAGTTTGTGATATATCTTAAGAAATTTATAATATGAGCATAATATCTTTCATCCTCATATTTTGTACAACAAAAAGCCCAATAGAGACATACTGCAACTCCCACGTAACATGTAACAGGATGTTTAGTGTCACATGACTGCACGACATCATAGGATAGTCTCTTTGGAACATTGGATATATGAATTTCAATGGAATATGTTGTAATCCTTACAACATATTCAAATAAGACATTAAAATGTTACCAATAATATGAGCTGTCAACTGGCCAACCCTAACAAATAGTTGCTAGAAGTAACGACTGTGAAATAGGATCATTGTGCATTTGTGCATGGAAAATGTTTGATGCAGCAAGCTAAAAACCAACCATAATTATGACAGGTCTAAACAAACTAAGCAGGCAGGAATTCAAACTTGCGAATTACAAAATGAGAAAAACAAGATAAAGGAACACATGATATGAAGTTCTTAACGATTCACTCGTTCATCCATATAATGGCCAATCACGCATAGTACAAGTAACCAGGACTCCACAATCAAAAATAACATCCACACTCTAGACTGACACATATAGTCACAAACAAGTTTGATCCACTCCAATTAAAACACAATAAAACTTATTTGGGTCTCAAGCATTTCAAACTAGTAGACATTGCACACTATTGCATCAATCCCTCAACCTTTAGTTCTAGTCGAAGTCAGTACTGATGGATCCTCCATGGGTGATTTCGACCAACGCCATCAACTGATCGGCCGTGAGTTCAAGTCACCAATCCATCTGAAGTTGAAAGATTCACAATATTATTAGGATTTTAGTTTTCCAGAGATGATAGCATAGGGATGATGCAATCGATGGTACTGATCAGACTAAGCTTCAGAAACACCTTCCTTAGAATAGGTGAGTGCTTGACGTATTGGCGTAGAGGCTAGAAATTATTGTCAATGCACCATTCACCCAAGCGCAATGTTCTAAAATTCCTGAACATTGGCCCGCTCCTAGATTGTTCCGTGAATATAAACTTCATATGTGCAAAGCAAAAAAAAAGTCTTCTATGAATACCGAAAATTTGTTGCAGAAAGGTGATACTAAAGATATTAATTCTCCTCCTCAGCTCAAGTTATTATATACGACATTACACAAATATGTGTCGAGGTTA